TTGAATTTTTTCAATTTTTTTCATCTTGTTGATTTGATTCTATACTTTAGTCAAAAATTCATTTTTACACTATTGTTGTCTTTTCTCAAACACATATAAAAGAATTATCTCTCAATGAGTAATTTTCTGGAAAAATTATCTTCTCTCTAACACCATAAATTTCATCGCGTATATGAATTATGAATGTTGATTCACTTAGTGAATGTAAATTTGTTTGTGAGGATTTAATTAGAGTGTTAATATATGATTGAATATTTCCAATTAGAGTATCATGGTTTAAGTCTAAAAGTGAACTTCCAAAAAAGAATAAGGGAAGATTATTCTCCAAAAGGAGCTTAGGAATTCTTGTTTTCACCTTTCATTCAAGGATTTGGTTCAATACTTTTGGGTAGAGATTAGATGACTGCTAATGGAAATGTTGAAGATATTAAATGTTTGAAGGTAATTCTATTTGAATCAAAAACTATATTTTATCATCAAGCTTAGTGAGTTGTGTACATATTAAAGAAGATCAAGAAATAAGAATAGTTTCTTTTAGTGCTAAGCATATTATGCATAATTTTCTTTGATATTCATCTTGTACCAAACAATTATGTAACCATATTATGAAGAGAAAAAATGGAAGAAAATTTTGGATGGACATCCATTAGAGACTAGATTAGATGCCTAGCGAGAACGAGTGCATTGAATCTGTATAAATCTTGGTGCATTGACTCTCTCTATGGACATCCACTAGAGACTAGATTAGATGCCTAGAGAGAACGAGTGCATCGAATCTGTATAAATCTTGGTGCATTGACACACACACACTCTCTCTCTCTTTCTCTCTCCAGTGGCGAATCTTGACTAAAATATTAGGGGGTGTGACAAATTTTAACTAAAATATTATAATTGAACTAGACTGAAAATTATAAAATTTAGATACAACTTTATCAAATATTCAAAATAACTTCAACAAAATAAAAATGGAATATATGAAAAGAGATATCCAACCTCGAATTAAAGTACCGCCTTTCGATCTTTTAAAGACTTGAACTCATCAACAATTGAATCAGCGGTGAAGTGTTCAACAATTTTTTTTCAATATAAAGCATCATATTATCAGCAAAAAATTTATCCTCCATCTTATTGTACAATCTTGTCTTGGTTATCTTCACTGCTAAGAATGATCTTTCTGTAATAGCTATAGAAACTAGAAGAGTTAAGATAAGATGGATAAGTCGATCAATCAAATAATATATTTTGATCTTCCCTGTCTTTTTTAGAGCTTCACACAATTCAAACAAAATTGACAAGTTATTTAAATTTGTATGACCAACAACATCAAGATGAAAGTATTGAAGTTGATATCTCAAATTAATTTTCTCATGCTCGTCAAAATCTGTAGAATAGAATTTATCTATAAGAGCACATATATTATTCATATAAAATGTTTTGTAAATATCCTTAGGAACTAAACTATTGCTTAGGCTTAAAAGCTCTATTGTTTGCTCACAAAACCTATGATTCAATTCTTGCAGTTGTTGATCAATTATAACATAAAAAAGATCCATTCTTAAATGTTGACCCACAGTGATGTGATCCATTTGATGATGCGTGTGACCTTTACGCTCTATATAAACTACATTACAATCAGAAGAATCAATATCATGTTTTTCTCAAAAGTAATAATACATCTTTCAATAAACCATCTCATTCATCTTCTCTCAACTTTTGAATTAATGTATTTGTAGTCGTGACTAACTTCATAGCATTAAGTATATCTTGAGATTTCTATTGCAAAGATTGATACAAACGATTTATAGTTCCCATAAGTTCTCTCATCGTATGCAAAATTAATATATACTCAAATGATTTCATAAACTTATAAGCAGCATTAACATCCCCATGTGTAGCATAACTTCTCCAATTTTTTCTAATATCCGCAAGAACCGCACAGTTTGGATTATACAAATCTATCATACTACAAACATAATTAAAATGTGAGCTCCAACGTGTACTGTCGGCTCGTTTCAAAGTACTAATTTAATTTTGTCATTTACCACTATCAAGCTCACCAATCTCTAGCAAATGTGAAAACTCCTCAAAAATGGCATTTTGAAACTCATCATGATGCTTATTAGAGGAACATACAACATTTACAATATGAGTCAAGTGTGAAAATAAATCATGAACAAAAAAAACTTCTCTTGAAGCAACAACCAAAGCAAGTTGTAATCTATGTGCAAAACAATGTATGTAAAAGCATAAAAACAATCCTTGATAAATAATGCTTGCAATCTATTCAACTCCCCTCTCCTATTACTAGCACCATCATACTCTTGCCCACGAATATCTAAAACATTTAGGCCATGTCGGAAAAGAACAACACAAATAGCATTTTTAAGAGTGACAACTATAGTGTCGTTAACATGCACATGCTCAAAAAATCATTCTTGAATACACCCATTTGTATCCACAGCCCTTAAGATAATAGTCATTTTCTCTCTCAAAGATTCATCACGCTATTCATCAACAATTATGCAAAATTTAGAATTCTCAATCTCTTCTAGAGTATAATTTTTCACTTTCCTAGACATGGTATGCAAAATTTCCTTTTTGAATTGAATGAGAAGTATATTTTGAATTATATGGAGCATTCTCTAGTACTACTTTTGCAAGTTCACCATTGTATCACGCTAAGAGTTTTATCATTTCAAGAAAGTTACCTCTATTTTTTCATCCAAGTGATTTGTCATGGCCTCTAAAGGAACAAGCTTGAAATACAAGCCAACAAATGGAATCAATTGGGCTATTGAGATGAAGTTTATTTTAGATGACTTTATCGGCACACTGCACATTAAGAATATTTCTGATGTGAATTGATTAATTGAAGAAGTCTTGAGAAGATTTCGAAGTATTATTATGAGGTAAACAAGGATTCCCTCCAATATGATTAAGTACATTACTTTCCCATATTGACCTTTTTCTGCGTCTTAAATCCTTTTCTAGTAAACACGTCAGCTCAGAGATGTCAACTAGGTTTTTTACTGAACAAGTAACAAAGTAAACAACAAACAACATCATTAATTGTAGAATATTCTAGCCATGAAAGAAACGTTTTAATCCAAGATGCTTGAAATCGTCTTGGATATTTATCTCTATTAAGGGGATACTTTTCAACTTGGGATTGATAGGGACCCCAATTAAGATAAGCTATTCGAACTTCATCTCTTTGATTTATTGAATATTCTCACATTTGAAGACGTTTGTTAGGATCATGTTTTAAACAATTGACATCAAATTCTTTTACGGTGAATTTTTGAATTTTGGACAATTGCTCATTTAGTTGAACTTGAATTGTTTGATTTTGCTCCTCAAATGTCAATGTTAAAGCTATACAACTTTAATCTTTATCGAAAACTTTTCTTTTAAAAAATGATTCCTTTATTGATTATAGTGTCCATTAAAAATAGTGAGAGAGAATATTTTAAACCGTGAACAAGATCAACAATTCATTTGTCTATTTGTCTTAGATAAATACTACTATTTTTATATGCTTAAATCATAACGAGTCATTATTACTTTATTTTTAATAAAAAGCTTAATTTATTTGTGGATATCTTAACTTAACTTAAAGTGCCATGTTAATTTGTTTAGATAATAAACGTGACTTAAGTTTTTCAAAAATAATGTTAGTCAATTTAATTTATTAGATTAATTTATAAAGTTAAATATATTATATGAGATAATATTATTAAGTCTCCACCTTAAATTTTATTATTTTTTGAATATTATCTTTTGCAAATTTTATATCTTTAAATAATTATGATCTATTAATTCTAACATAATCAATACTTAATATTTTTTCATATCTTTAATATTATGTGTTGATAATATACTATCACCATAATCTAAATGTATGAAATTTATTAAAATCATCAAATAATTAATATTAAAAAATTAATAAAGTAAATAGTCTCGGCTACTATATTTAAAATTAAAACTTAATTGAAAAAGCAAATTTGTTAATCGAGATAGTTTTTTAAGAGATTTAAAAGTAAAATTTATTGATAAAATAACCAATATAAAAAATTCAATTAAAGAGATTAATTATTATATATTGTTAATGTAAAAGAATTTACATGGTCAATTCATCATTATCTATTTGTATTATTTAATAGACAATTAAAATAAAAATCAAACTCTTTTTAATATCTAAAAAAATTTATTAAGTCGTAAAAAAATGCAGCTGTCATACTTTTGTAAAAATAAAAAATAGAAAATATATTTCAATAAATTTGATATTATTTTTTGTGTTAGTCTATTATCCACAAAATAAAATTGAAAAAAACAGTGTATGACTCAAGTCAAAGTGTCTGTGTCTATCATGTGAGACATGCCTTTTATCCATTCGTAAATACTATGATATCAATTTATTTTTGAAACCGCGTTTCGATCACGTCGACGGTTGACTAAATCTAATGAACTTGTATAGTTCATCGAATACAACTTGCCAATTTGGTAGTATGATAGTATCAACAAATATCTAAAGCATAATTTTAATATAACAACTTGTAAATGCAACTTGACAGCAATGAAACACCAAATCCAACCAAACTTACAACGTGACCAAAAACATAGTTACTTACATAGGATTTACATTTCAACTAATTAAAAAGTCACCTTAATTATTCTAATGTCGGCTATTCACTGTCTTGTTCTTAACCTTTTGCTCAACACCGACGAGATTGAAATAATTGTAATTAAAACCGTCGTCTTGTTTCTCTCCACACGAATGCCACCAATTTGTGGCATTCACACTTACACTCTTTTGAGTTTTGACCCGTCACTGGTACTAATCCTTAATAAATCTTCAATGCTTAGCCATGTCAACTTGTTAGCAAGCAGTATCAAGAATCTATTATATATATGTATGCATGTGTTACTGTTTTATTCATATTTCAGATATTCTGTTGAAGGGTTTTTGAAAAGTTGACAACAATCTATAAGGTTTGTCAATGTTAATGATGCTTCCTGGTCTTAATAGAGAGGGAGAGATGTCGGCTATGATCTCTGCTTTAACACATGTCATATGTGGTGATGGTGGCGATGATGAGAATCGGAATATGAATCATGACATGGAGCCTTTCGTTTCTGCGATAGAATCTTCAACTTCTTTGTCTTATGGTGATAGTTCTGCTCTCAAGAGAAGAAGGGAAGATGGTGGATTGTTTGACAATAAGCATCAAGGTGAATATTAATTTTATATTACAATAATGGAACCGAATAAATGTTTAATTTATTAATGGATTTGATTTGATGAAATGCAGTTGTAGAATGTTCCAGCAAATGGATGAATACGATAACAACGGAAAGGAACCAAAGTGAAGAAACTATATATGAATACCGAACAGACAATAACAATGTGCCAAATGAAGATGAACCAAAAAGAAAATACAGAGGAGTGAGACAGAGGCCATGGGGAAAATGGGCTGCTGAGATAAGAGATCCTTTCAAGGCTACAAGAGTTTGGTTAGGAACATTTGAAACAGCTGAAGATGCAGCCAAAGCGTATGATCAAGCTTCATTGCGGTTTAGAGGAAACAAAGCTAAACTCAACTTCCCTGAAAATGTTACACTCAAGCAACAACCTATTGTTGATCCACCAACGACTCATACACATTCTAATAGTGTCATTTTGCCACATCATTCTCGTACTGATTCTATGGTTCAGAATGAAGCTCTTTATAATTTGCAAGGTTCAAACAAGTTTTATGATTATTTTCATGGTCAGAATATTCCCATGGCTTCTTCTCTTCAGAGTTCGATGTCGCCATCAGCTTCATATTCTTCTTCTTCTTTTAGTTCTCCACAGACAACTTCTTCTTTTAGTTCTCCACAGACAACTTCTTCAATTCCTTCTGTTTATTCTACTCAGTTGCCAGCATGGTCTTCTGGTTAAAGCTCATCTCCCTCAGGCTGATATTCATCCATTTTATTGTAGAATAGTTGACTACAAAAGTATGTGTATTGATTTTCTTTGGTATTTTCCTTTTATTTAAGTCTCTCCCTCCTTTTTTTCCCCTAATATTATCACAAAATTTTGGGGAAGTTTGAATTGCTTAGAAAAGAGAGGGAGAGTGAAAGGAATAGTAAAAATATAATAAACTATATAGGAAAGAAAGAAGAAAAAAATGAAATAGGAATAGATTATATAAAACTAATTAGAAAAAAATATAAGAAAATTAAGTCTACTGCTGTTTTATCTCCTTTGAATGAATTTGTAAATTGTATCGTGATTATTTTCTGATTAGGTAGTATTTACTGAAATCAGAAAAACATTAAAAGAGTGTATATTGAATTAAATATTGATAATAAAAAAAATTGTTCTATAAAGTTGAAATGAATGGTATTATAAAAAATGTTATCCAAACAATTAGTCGAATGAAAATACCAAGGAAAACAAATGAATTTGTCCAGCCAGATAAAGGGACAAACATATGGAATATTTAAATGACTAAAAAAGACTAAAAAATAGTGCGTCTAAAATCATTTAAATATCTATACCAACCTTATGATAATTATAAAAAAGAGAAGAGAATCAGTTCTATAAATTAATTTTCCCTCAAATGAAAGAGAAAGCTGCTAATGTGAAAGAATTATTTATTTATTTTTGGGTAAAATAACGGAATGAGAAGAAAACAAACTATATACTTAGTTAAGTGTAATTCTTTATTATAATTATGGGTGGGGGGAATAAATAATGAAAAAAGAGAATATTAACCGAATCACTTCAACATGCCTAAACAACATTCGCCTCTTCCATTTTCACGAGGAACAGAAGGCCAAAAAAAAGACAGCATCATGAACACTTATGAACACATTTTTAGTGATAAATTGCTCAAATTTGATTGAAAAAAAACGCACGGTTAAGTGCCAAGCGAAGGCAGACAGTAAATTAATGATAGGCAACTTAATGATAAAAGTAGAACTTGGAAGGCTTCAAGGATTAATTAGTATTTTATATTATTAAAGAGGAATTTTAAGGGCATTATCACGGATCATGAAGCAATCATTATGAATTTTGCAATTATTTTCAATAGTTAACCCCATCCCCATATAAATAACCCACCCATGCGGTACTTCGACATTAATCTTCGCCCAAAACAAAAGCAGCTGCTTTTGCATGTACACGAAAAGTGACGAAATTGCAAAATAAAATGGAAGTGACCAAAACATGAAAATAAATGTTATGACCAGACAAAAGAATATAAATGAACAAACACTCAATTTCTTGCCACTACTACAAACAAGACCGTTTAGGATCATGTATGGTAAGTCAGTGGTAAGGTATTTAACAGTAGTATACAACATAGCTACTTTTAGTACTAAGAATCATTTATCCATATCTCTTCCCTGAACAATTGAATGGCAAAATATAAATTGAAAGAGACAACTGTTTAATGCTATTCACTGACACAACGGAGCAACATTTCAAATGAAACTTCCAGGTAAGACAACTTCAGTTCAAAACCACATATTAAGGAGCTCCTAAAGAACCTGCAATAGATATTATGGTTAAAAGAAAATATTCCAGACATGAAAAATCACTACCATTTTTCATTAATTACCTCTAAACACAATGGTGAGAAAATTTAACAACAGGGCAAGAGAAAGGAGGGAAATGCAAAATTACCAATATGTGGGTCTCCTTAAACCTTTAAAACTGCTTTATGGACCATGGTTTCCTTGTGTATTTGATGACAGCTCTTCTCAACAAGATCAAGCAATTTCTCTAAATTTGCTGCCCATGAATTAAGAATATCGTTGCTATCCTTTGCTGTTTGGAAACAAACTATTCCCATTGGTCTATCAATCTTTGCAACCAGAGCTTTCGACACCACCATTTCTGAGAGATGCTTCTCAGCTTCCTGAATTATGTAATGATTATTGATTAGGAACATCCCCTTTAAAAAATAGATTATTTAAAATGGAAAGGAAATAAATAGTTTCAAGTTTACAGCTTCTATTTTCATATGCAGGTCAATAATGATAAACAAATTAAACTGCATGAGGTGGCAGATGAAATAGTGCATCATACACATCCCCCTACTACTAGCTTCACTTTGAAAGAACATAATTTTTTCTTTGAGACACTTGCATTCTCCCACACCATAATAAAATGTTACCATAAAAAGGCTAACAGAACAAAACCACAACTAGCATTACACACCTCTAGGCTGAGACACAAAAGCTGTGCAAGTCTCTTCAAAGTAATCCTTGCATAGTATTTTGATACAACGAGAATATTCTGAAAGGTCAGCAAAATTACTCCATGTTAATACTAAAAAATAACTGAGAAACAAAGAATATCCCACAATACCGAGCAACAAAGTTGATAGGATGAGAATAAATATAAGAGCATAAGTTATAAATATAAGAGCATAAGTTAATCACATGTTCAATAATTCTTTGTTTCAGATCTTCTGCTGCTTTTTCACTCAAAAAGTTTCCAGAGACCATCTCACTGTCAAACTCGTTCTTATATGTATCCCAAAGAGCTGTCCATTGGATGACTTCCATGGTTACCACATTCTTCAAAAGTAGCCTAGACAAAACATATAACAGATAGACCCAGTGACAAAGAATCCTAAATAAGATATTTGAAAATGTCCAGCAAGTATGTGAGATGAATAATAAGATAACATACTTGAAGTTTGGAATCTCAGAAAGATTCCTATCATCCAATGTGGAATTAAGAAGACTCGACTGCATTGGTTCATGTGGTGCAAGAACCAAGAACCAACATATTTTCCTCAGGATCTGTATGGGTAAAGATAATATTTGGAGAAAATGTTATATCATGATATTGTATAACAATAGAATTATACAGTAACAGAGATAGCAAATAAAGAAAGAGAATAGGAATCCTACAGGAATAAACTCAGCAGGATTTTCTTTGACAGATGGAATCTCATATATGGCCTTGTAGCAACGGCAAATTTCAAGATATTCATTGTTGTGGGAATAATACCTTGTAGATAGACAGAAAACCAGCATAAGAAAAATTAAGATTTCAGGATCAACATCAAGAATTAGGTACTGCTTGAAAAATATGTAATATGAACTTAAACTAACATGCACTAATCTATATCGATTCCATATATAGTGAAGTCAACATCAAAAACTAGGTACTCGAAAAATATGTAGTACGAACTTAAATTAACATGCACTCATCTATATCGCCTTCATATGTAGTGAAGTGGCATAGCACCAGATTTAGAAAGCAATGAATAATTTACTGGCCACATATACACCAGTGTGAACAATTCCCTGAATTCCTACACTATATTACTGCCATGTCTCGTGTTACAAATCATTTCCCAAACACAAAAATGAAATAATTGTTAAATATGAGTGCTGGCGACACACTCTTTCTAACACACTATTCTATTGGTTGAAACACAAATGGGTTCCATTAAATTATATAGACCCCATACAATGGGACTCTAATGAATTTCAAACCAATAAAAGTGTGTTAGAGAATTGTTGCTAGCATAATTCTTTAAGCATATAACTCAAATGATCTGAATCATATGCAGTTGAACTTTATTTTAATTGTGCAAGACTGTAGACTGCCTATTGTAGACACAACAATGAATTTGACCCTTCCTTAAACCTGCATTACAGGAGCTCTGTAGCACTAGGTTTCCCTTCACATATAATTCAATTGAACAAGAAAACAACATCAGAAAGGATCCTTCACAGATAACTCAAACTGTCCCTTTGAGACCACCTTCTCCTGTGGGATCCTATCAGCAACAGAACAGCAAAAATGACATAACATAAAATAAGAGTGACAGGAATTTACAATGAAGTACAGGAATTTATTTTGCAGAAGAGCATGTTTACAGAGAATGACATAACATAATTACTGCTTTATGAAACAGTAACTGGTAAAAACACAGGTAATCTACATGTTAGGAAGGAAAAATATAACCAGCATGTTTGCCAACTTAAAAGTTCAAACACATCTTATATACCTATGGCCAGTGTTCCATGTTTTTTTAAGAATCCTTTTTCATAAATTTCTAATTGGAAGACAAACTCCGCAACATGTCAGAATGTTTCACTTTTAAAAGTCAGTGATGAAAAACATTATGCTGAATTTCAAGATGGTTATGAAGAACTGGGACGCAGAAGACAAAAATGGAAAGCAAGGGAACATATGTAAAGGATAGATTATGATAATTTGGAGAGAAAAAACCTAAGCGATAAAAATGTCGAATTTCTGTCAGAGAATATGAAATTTGATCCAAACCAGAAGTGTCCAGTTACAATCTTTTATATTGTTTGATACGGTACAATATGCATTAAAAGAAAGAAGAATGAAATTACATCGCTTACAATTTTTAACCAACTCAAACTCTAGCAATCCACAAATGCATTACAAAATAGCTACCTCCAAAAGTTTGATATTATTTAGAAACAACTAATTCAACTCTTCAGAAAAAAGAAAAAAAAAAGCAATTCTTCTTTGGTAGTAACAGAGAAAGCCACAAACTCGTACATGGTACACCAATCCACATTACTAATATGTATAGTTTGATATTATTTGGAAACAAGGCTAATTTAACTCTTAAAAAAAACAATTCTTCTTGTAGACCGTCAAACTAAGAATTAAAAATAAATAATGGAATACTTGGTAGTAGTGACAGAGAAAGCCACAGACACGTACACCAATCCACATTTTAGGTTTAGTACTACAAAAAAAGATGGCAAACATGCAAAAGAAAAAGCTATATAGATATAGATAAAAAAAGGATGAGACAAAACACTTTAGATGCCATCATATTCCCAAATATATTTAAACAAACATGCGTAAATGCAAGCAAGGGAAATTATGAAAGAATGAATTCATGGAAATAAAAAGAGCAGACAGACAAACAGTCGTTGGCACTACGCCTAGACTTTCAGCTTCTTAAATATACAGTATTGGTTTTTCTTTAAGGGTCAAGCTAATGAAAGCCCTAAGGGCATTGTATAAGAGCTCAAATCAATATAATTATTAATAGGAAAAAGTTAGGTATTTCAATTTCCAGTGCATGGACTGCATAATTTTCACAAAAAGCTTACAATTTTAAACTATCAAACAATGCCCTTGGGATAATTGTGAGCATATATTTTCTTTAAATAGGTTAACATAAAAAGCATATCCTCAAATGCTAATGAAACAGAAAATCCCAAAAGCCAGGATCTTGGGCATCTACACGGTGTTCAGTTTATATAAAATAAAACTGAGAGACGTCAAAATATACAGGGTCGAGCCACAGTACTTATAACTACAATAAACACTACAATGAAACAGAAAGTGGGAATTAAATTACCTAATCATTAGTTCATAATAAATCCGCTTCAACTCCAGTAGAGATGGAATGTCTACAGGAGCCTCTTCAACCATATTATCGCCTTCTTTAGGCTTTTTCTTTTCCTTAGATGCATCTATATCGAATACTCTTGGACTAATCTTTCTTGAGAGTATTTGTGCACGGACATAATCCTGACGATCTAGGCACAATCGAACCTACACAATTTAACAAGGAAGATTCTCAAATCAGTAACTTATTAGCAACATAAGAAATCGATAGCCTACTACTTATGTCATCTCTGAAACAAAGAAATGTGGTTCATACTTGTTCAAGAATGAAGGCAATTTTCTCAGTTTTTGCCATGGCACCAAAAGTTTCCACCTGTTATGGTTACCCATTACATAAGTAAACCAATCAATATTTTGTACTGAACAATTAAATCCAAAAAACAAAAATATACATAAGCCATTAAAACATGACAAGTTCACACTGACCGCAATTTCTTGCATCAAATCAGCAGCCTCGGCTATAAGCCCTTGTTCTTCCTTAATCTTGGCAAGTTTCTTGACCAACCGAGCTCTCTCAATCTCAACATAGATCTAAGAAGAACACAATACACCATAAAAATTTGCAAAACAGATGTCTTATAAGATAGATACTGCTATGCAAGAAGATTATAACGCAGAAAGGAGAGTTCAGACACAACGACTCACCTTTCCTGCAGATACACTATTCAATGTTTTGATAAGTTCTATACGTGTTTCAATATCTGGTGTCTCATCAATATATTGCATAGCCTGCTGGACCATAGCTGTTACAGCCTGTGTGCATATATAATAGCCTCGTTAGTAAAAGATAACACTATAATTCTTATTTTCTTCTACCAATTACACAGCAACTAGATAGAATCAAAACCAAACTCCAACCAGAAACTGTAAGAATGCTGTGTGATTAACAGTAAGTTCCAATCGAAGACGAAATCAACATAAACCCTAGACTATTTCTAAATAAGCATTATGAATCGAGCACAATAATCCATCGGTAATCTAAACAAATTTTCCATCAATATCCAATCCACGGTTACTAAAACCCTAAACCTCCTCAAACCTAACACAAACAACATATATCTTCGGAGATTACCTGCTTAAGCTGACCGCGCCGTTTGGACAAAACGACAATCTGATCATTTAGGGTTTTCCATGCTTTCGCTTCGAAGCAGAGTTGCAAAATATCAATTGCAGCTTTTCTGGTGCCGACGATTTCACCGGCGAGCCGCATCTGTTTCTCAACGTTCAGCAATTGCTCTATCTTCGCATCTAAATTCTCCGTATTCGCCTGCACAACAAATTGAGAACAAACAAGATTAACGGTGGAAGTAAAATCACATGAAGCCAACGAAAGAGGGATCTGGAATGGATTTGATTGATGAGTGAATTGAGTGAGAGGAGGAGAATACCATGGTTGAGTGAGGTTTGGGCGAGAGAAGGAGAGAGATCTATGAAGGAATCGCCGAATATTGGAAATTAGAAAAAGGAAGAAAATGTGAGAGAGCAAAGAAGCATCAGAAGAGTTACGTTAGTAGTAGAAGCTAATTTTATCCAACTTGGCGTGCCAAAAGCCCATCTAGGCCCAATAATCTCTAGCAGGCTTCCGAGGATTCAAGATGTCACCCCCTTTATTTCTAAAGAGAATTTCTTATAGCACTCTTAATAGTTCTGTTATACCATGTAAAAACTCACAAATGTTCATAAAATTTAGAGCTATATCTCTAGAAGCACTCAAATGTAAGTGAATGATGAAATATTTCGGAGATATATTTTCAAAATAGTTTGGAGTGTAAGTCGCATCAGACTATTCTCCTTCCTCGTTTCACATTTTTCTTCAAACTCAACTCAATCTCTCAATACACTTAAACTTCACCATATCAAACAACGCTCGAAGTAACATCAAGCATCATCTATAACATCATTCAACTGCATCAAAATCATAAATATCAAGTAAGTTTTTCGAGTTTTCGGTAAATTTAGATTTTTAGTGCAAATGTGTGTTAATCAATGATTAGAGTTAGAAATATGTAGGGATCACATGTAACAGTGTAATACCCTAATTTTTACCCTTGCGATCCCACATATCATTTTTATTTCATACCACAAGCAAGATCACAAGTTTTGATTCTCTCGTCTTCCTCTGTAGGTTTGTTCTTGAGGGAGATCATTGAGCACCCTTGTTTTATTGTATGTTTGATGTTTGTTTATGTTTATGTTTACTAACTCTTAATTAAAATATCAAAAATATGTTTGTCTTTTCTTTACTAACTCTTTTTCAGGAAGAGGTGTGAATCAAGAACACTAATCAACAGTTCATCAACTCGAATGAATTTCATCTGAACAAAGTCAAAATTGATCTGCAAGTAATTCAAAATCATTTGATCAACTTTCAATATTTGATTGACTATTATTCAAGAGACTCCAAGGTTCGTGTGTTTATTTCCATGTCTTCTTTTACAAGCAAAAAGAATCTAGACAGAGCCAAGACAGCACATCAAAAGGCTAATTTTTACAATTTTTGTTGTGTTAATCGATTAACATTATATGGTTAATCGATTAACCAGTACGTTTTTTGTGAAAATGAGTAAATTCAAATTTTGCAGCATTTTGGCACCAATTTCCAAATATTTCATCATGAGAATATTCTAGAACGCCTCATTTTAATTTCCCTACCTCGTCATAATTAATTCCCACCATACACCTTCGCTTATCACCATTTAATCTTGATTTTACCTCCAAATTTAAATTTCAAGCCTAATTCTGATTTCAAACCAAATTCTAAACCACCAAAATTTTTAAGTCTAAATTCTATAAATAGATGTCTCATTTCATTCATGCTTCAAACTTTGATAGCCGAATTCACGTTGCTAGAATTTCTCTCAATTTCCTTCAACTATCAAATTCATCAAAGCTCTTTCTTATTTTTAAAGTTAGTAAGTTCTTCATTGGAACTTACTAATCTTTGAGCTAAAACTTTCATCCAATCATTTTTTCATCATCAATTTCAGTATATCAATGCTTTGGAGTGTGATTTTTAAAGTTAATTTGAAGTGGTAATCCCTTATTCCGCCATTGTTGTGTTTGATCCATCTTTCACACTGCGATATATTGTTAATTCTTGTTGCTTGATCTTTGGATCTTACAAATTGTGTTTTATTGGTGTTATTTGTTGTTGTTTTACTTGAATTTTCGTGCTAATTCTTATTTGTGATCATGAGGTGTTTGAAGAAATGATTGGATCGTGAATGCTGGTTTTTTTTCTTTTTTTCTGTTGTTTTGTCAGTGTTAACTAATTAACCAAATGCAGTTCAATTTGGTTAACCAGTGTCCATAATGTGTTTTTTGCTTGTTTTTGGGATTGTTTTGGTTATTTCCTCTTCTTCCATTTTCTTTTGATTTTTGCCTTGCTTTGTATTTTTAAAGGTCCTATTCCTCTTTAAATTCAATGGACTTAGGGTGTAGATGAAGTTGGATAAACATTCATTAATTCAAATCTATCTTTAAAGTGAATTGTTCAATTTATTTTAGGTGCTTTGAGTTAATGATATGTTTAATGCTTTAATCCACCAAGATGAGTGGTTGAACTTAAAGATGAAAATATTTTAGAATTGTGATTCAATTTGGTGTTTCCCTCCCCTCTTCTTCTCATTTTATTTTGATCGATGAAAACCTTCGAAATCATTGGAACTTATTTTAAGTTCTTGATGAAGATGAGATCGTTACCTCTTTTCTTTTTGTGCGGTATTGCTTTCGGAGAGTGATCTACATATCACTTCTCTAGCATGCATTAGCACTAATATTTTTATTGACTGACCTCAGTTAATTGTGGCTTCTACATAAGTCTGATTACGATTGCTTAATATAGCGCTAAATTGTCCCGAAATCAGAAAACCGTTATATTTTGTAAGCGAAATATCAGTCTCTTATTAGTCTGTGGGGTAGTTTAAAATAGATTAACTTTCTCTTGTTACCTGTGGGGGTTAGTTGGCACACTCATTGATTTTATCCGAGTTGGCGCTCTCCCCATGGTAATGTATGAGACCATGTTTTCATTATCATGGATGTTTAGTCGATCATTTCTGAAAAGCAACAAAACGTGTTCTTTTGTTTTAGATCATTATTGCTCTATGTTATATATCAATTGTGTTGTGCATATGTTTCTTTCTCGCTCCCTCTCTCTTTTATTTTTTTTATGCTTTATGTTATCATATCATATTATTTGTTATATTTCCGCTATTTTTCCTTTGTCCACTTGGACCATTTGTTTATGTTTATTCTCTTTTTTCTTTTGTCCATTTGGACCAAAAACATGAATAAAGGCTTAAACCCCTTAAAACTTGTTCTCTTAATGGTGGACTATGGTTAATATCCTTTGCATTGGACATGGAATTTTGGACCTAGAACTAGGATCTTAATCTATGCTTAGAAGTTTATGATGTTAAACTTTGGATGTTTGGTCCTAATCCAAAGGAATGGATGCTTATGTTATGAAGTTTGCTTGTGTGGTTAGATTGTTCTTATCCTTAGATTTTATCTTTATACAATAGGATAGCCCTTTCTTCTTCATCCCTTCTTTAATTTTCAAAATCTTCTCCCTTTTTTTAAACCTTATTGTTTTCAAATTCAAACAACTTTCATTATAAATCCTTGGCCTTGGTCAAGTGATTATTTTAGAATTTGTTTTTTTAATAAATGTCAATCAATGTTGATCATATTTTAACCAATTTCAAAATATATAAAAAATATAAAAACTCATTCAAACTCTTTTTGTGTGCATTTGTGCACTTTTTTCTTTTAAAACTTTTTCATAAGTTTAGACATGAGTCATCTTTTTAAGTGGAATTATTCGCTTGGAAATGACGACTTGTCTTTACATTTAAAATCAATCATAACAAACCACTTTTTGTTATTTGTACCGTGAACTATAGAGTTTTAATCCTATATTGCACTTTGTGGGTACGTAGGCATGAGGCGATATGTCTCTCCAAACACAAAAAATAAAAAAATAATTCTCTTCTCATCTCCTCAATCTCCTTTCAAACAAACTTTTTTCAAACCAAAAAGTATAGGCATTTCAAAGGGTTCCTATAGAGTATTATAGACGTTTTGGGTGTGAATACCTTCCCTTAGTGTAACCAACCCCCTTACCCATTCTCTATTTGTTCTTGTTTTACAACTATTTAGGTTTTGTTCGTTATTTTTCCTTTCCTTTTTAGATATAATAAAAGTGTGATGACGACTCTTGCATTTTGAGTTAAGTTAATCAATAGCTTACACTCACAAATCTCCCTGCTACACATAGTTTAAACTTAGTGTATAACTTTTCTGTTGGCTAGAATTCGTGATCAAATCATATTTTTGTTAAGTTGCATGTGGTACATTCGCCATTGACGCAACTTCTGAGTTGTAGAACATTCTGGAGATGCATCTCCGAAATTGTTCAGTGTTTCATATACTTTAGGAAATTTTGGAGATGTATATTCAGAATTGTTTGACGTTTTAGTTTAATGGTGCTTCCAGAGATGCATCTCTGTAATTGTTCAATATTTTAGTTTAATGGTGCTTTTGGAGATGCATCTTCGAAACTTCTTTCAATATGTTTTTTTAATTCTTGCTTATGTGTGTTGTTTGTGTTCATTAATGATATGTTTTACTTTACCTTACAAGTATAATGGCTGACAAATTTGACAGACTGAGACATGGTAGGGTTGCTTAGTACGCATCCATTTGACGGGAGAGAAGCTAGCAGATTCTAGAGCCTATAAGTACCTCTGGTTAGCCCGAGGCATCGACTTTTGGGGTGCTGTCTACTCCCAGGGCTTGTGTTTCACCTCAAACCATTCCACCTTTTTCTTCCCGTAGAAGACGGGATTCACCGTCTGATGCATCACTTCATTCATCCTCCCGTAGGTGTCAGGATTCACCAATGTCATGTTTTACATATGATGTTGTTGTTTTAGACCCACCTCCCACAGCTGATAAAATGCCACCTCTAGAGGGTGATAATATTATGGATGTCGAGGCAGAGGGTTTTGGATAAGGTCTGTGTGATTTGTCCTTATTTCCTTTATATTTAGACCACACTATCAAACATATTTGGGATGTAGAGGTAGCGTTAGTTGGACTCTTTAATCTATAACCACTATTAAGAAATTCATATGTCCGGCTGCTATGGGAAGTTAACCCAGAATACCCGCCCCCACTGATAAAACGTCCATGATGGATCACACGCTAGATGGTAACAAACTATGTTTGGGTCGATTTCGGGCATATCAATCGGTTCCATGTGAGCAAATATACGTTCTTCCTCAATATTTTGATGATCTCGGCTTCCTCTTGCAAAAACCAATTAGAGCCTATTTGAGTTGTCTGAGATGATTAGATACCAATATGTACCTTATTTACATCTTTG